CAAGTAAGTAATGCGCCCCTAAGAAAAGCATCTCCCTGCATTCTCCAACCGTGTCTCAGCAACAGCGTAGTGCAGTGCCACTGCTCCTTCGCAGCATCATGACCTCCAGACCTCCCTAAGCACGTTTATTAGGAGCCTACAATGCATCATATAGCAAATTCCTTACGAGAAACCTTCCACAATAGGATGCACCTCCTTCCAAAGGCGCGTGGCAGTGAGAGCGGCCGCCATAGGTCCCAAGGATCTCACATCACGTGCCAGTGAAGAAACCTCGCTGCAAAGCTCAGCTGCTCATCACCAGGCTCGTAGCACTTAAATGTCTATGGTGCTTCCATTGCAAGATCTCATGAGAACTCTATGAGTCTAGGTCATCTTCCAGATTGCCAGAGATCTTGAACACCATTGTGTGGCATCCCGCCTCAGAGAGCTCTTCGCCTTGCAATCCCCTCTCGCACAACCATCGCTCATCGTACTCCTGGAGAAATAGCCAATTGCACCTAAATATCCTTGAATCTAGATGCTCTGAGGCTCTACCACGCTTGTCAGCTGCCAATATCTCCTGCCGCGAGCGCGTGTACCGCAACACTGCCCATGCCTCGTGCAAAGCCTGCAAGTCAAAATGCGGGAGGCGCAATAACCAAGTGATAATGAAAACAGCACAACGCCACTTGCGACAACCTGAATCCGTGCTGACTATCATAAGAGCAGACCCAAACTTGGTTTGATCAACGCTGCTTCGAAGATCACGCCGAGCCTGCAAGAGCTTGTGCTGTTGCATCTCAAGGTCACCTGTTCTGCTGCCCAGCGCGTCAGCTGTCGGTCTCTGGCTTTCTGCGAACTCGTGAAGCTTGGCCGCCCACCCCCATGCAAATCTCGAAGCTTGCGGTGATAGGCCGCCTTAATTAGGGCAAGTGCTTCATTCGCAGCCGCTTGCCGAAGATCAAATCCATGTATGTTGCTGTTACATTTGCCTACGACATGCCCTGTCAGAGGAGAAAGCAAACACTGCACACAATTGGCCTCCAAGCTGGCAAAGGGTGTCCCCGGCACGCAACCAAGCACAGCCTTGGCAGTTCATGCGCGGACGAAGACTCCAATTCAAAACGCGTGGCAAAGGCTGTTAGGGTCATCTTAACACCACATGAAGCTTGTCTGGCTTCCATAGTCTTGATACAGCCTTTGACACGTGGGCTCTAGTGTTTCCGCACTGAGTTGATTTCCTGAAGCGGAGCGACAATTTTGCATTTGAGAAATGCACACAGGTGGCATAGTGATCTCCGAAGGCGACCTCCACCATGGCGAACAGGGCCAGATCACTGAGCCACGACGGCTGCACCGTCTTTGCCTCTTGCCGCTTGCCATCGCTTGCTTGTAACAACACGCGTCTGTGGAAGAAGTCAGAATGGCTCTCAGATGCGCAGTGTCACTGCCAGGAATCACGACAATCCCCGTCAAGAAACTCGAGTCTCAGCCCAGAACGCCACGACGCCTTGACCCATGGAGCCTTCACTGCACGGGGAGGGCATTCAGCTTCTTGCTTCCCAGAGTCTAACCTTTCTGTGCTGAGAAAGTCTGCTGCAATAATTGAAGCCTCTTGGCAACAGTCTGGATTCGCTATGCTCTGTACCTCAGCCCGCGGAACGCGAAGGTTCAGAAGTTTGCAAGGCAGGTCCGAGCAGCTGGCATGACCCTCCGGCTGCCGCTTCAGATCGCCAATGCCTCTTGTCACCGGCACCAGTTCTCAGTTGCCGCATGCCGCCCTGCTTGAATCTGCCTGGCGACGCCTATCATCGTAGCTAGTGGGCCCCAAACAATGCAGGCTCTGCATTAGCCGGCACGCTGTGTCCAGCTGCTCTTAGCAGGGCAGTAGCTGCCTGGACTGTATCTTTGTAGTATCTCTGAATCGCTAGACCCACAAATTCTGAAACAAGGCCGGGCAAGCTTGTTCGCTTTCTTAACTGTGGAGCCCCGTTCAACGTCTGTCAGCTCTGATGTTGCTTGAGGATGACTTCCTAGTCGGCGTTCCTACGACCTGAGTCGCCTGCGCCACTTCAAGGGTCTCGGCACCTTAAACTGCTGTAATGCTACCGTCCGGAAGCAAGCCATGCTTGTAGCGTCAGGCCCCCGAAAACATCCCAACAAAGCTTTCGCAGCAACCCAAAAGCTGAGAACTTGACGCAGCTGGCTTCGAAGCCTGTCACACCTCAGATCAACCGGCAAGGCCTGCAGAATCTCAAGGATTGCAGTGTTGAATCCACCCAACGGAACTCGATCTTTTACTTTCCTTGGGGAAGCTCTTTACTTACTGCTGATGGAACTGAGATTACGACTCTTCAGCGCACATCTTCTCGTTTTCCTGTATAGGCTGCGCTGGTAGCACTGCACACGAATGCCGAGATTTTCGAGGGTCACGTTTGGTTCATGGCGTGCATCTGGCATGACCTGTCTAAAAGAAACGCGATGTTTTGCCTTGTTGCGGAGCCATAGGTGGTCCTAAGCATCTGAAGTTGGCCAGTGGTAGAAGACTGCACGGATCCAGAGGAATTGTGAGCGGAAGTGTTTGCCAAATACCTAGCTGACTGCCATCTCTTGACAGGTGCTTAGGCAGTATCTTCATGCTCCGGTGATGACCTGGCTCTGCTCGTTGAAGCTTGTGGAGCTGGAATCTCAGGCGGACCTAACAAAGTTAGAGCCGCATATGCCAAGCCTACCCCGAGCCCGCATAGCAGAGCATCGAAGGCTAGCATCTGAGGGTCCAAGATAGCACCACGGATGCCAGCCAAGTTTTTCAAGTAAGAGAAGACTGCATCCGGCAATGCCTTGCCAACAAGTAGCGCAGCAAGAAAGAGCAGTAGATACCTGTAGGGTGCATTGGTGTCCATCTCCTCGGCAAGTCGTGCCCTCTCCTCGTCACTGAGTTCCCAGTACTCATCCTCCTGCGCGGCCCTCTCTGCGCGTCTTCTCGACTTCGCGAATTTGAAAAGCCAACTCTGGCCCGCAGAAGATGCTCCTGTGAAAAGGAACGAGGCCGCACACGATAAGACAAGGGGAGTCGACGGGGACGAACCTGAAGAGCAGCTTCTTGTTGCAACGCTCGGCACTGTTTGAGTGCGAACATGTGCTCGGCCTACACCACGCAATGGCTCTAGGGCAAGGCTCGCGCTGCCGCTCATAAATAGCATGTTTGCCTCCGGTACACAGTTTTTCTGGAAAGCTGCAAATTACCTCGTGCCCAGAAGCAGAGATGGGCTCACACTGCGTAAAGCGAGTTTCCAGCTTCCACACTCCTCTACAACAACACAAACCCCTCCAAATGACAATGCTTGCTGAGCTTCCCGGATGCGCCAAGAATGCGCACTCAAACCCTTGAAGTTAAGATCGTGAACCTCACTCACAAGAACTTGTCTCCAGGCAACCCTCAATCAACAAAAGGTATCTTTACATCTCCTGTGCCTAGGTCAGTCGCGAACCGAATGCCCTCAACCGAGTGGTTTCGCAGCCGATCCCACAGACAGACTGAATTACAACTTTCTTGTTCGAACCGGTGATAACCTGCAGATGCCAACGAAAAATCTTACTTCCTGACTCAACAGCATGTCCCACACATGTTGCGGCATAGGGCCTCTTGTCAGCATTCATCAGCGTCCTATTTCAAGCCCATACTTGCCTAAACATTGCTCCAAGCCTTGTGCGAAGCCTCTGCAGATTGGCTCGCCAGCAGATTGCAGCGGGCAAGCTCTTGCCTGTTTACGAGATTTCGCACAGAGTTCAAGGCATTCGGAACCAGGCATCCAAAATGAATTGTGACAGTGTTGAAAACTAGTTTCGTCATTTTTTTTTTTTCTATATGTTTTTTGTTTCTGGCGGATCCTGGGCTTCTGTAGGCCCAATGCAGGAGCTCACTTTTTAGCCGAAATTTGAAAACGTTCTGCGCAGGAGCTTGATGTGGTGTTAAAATTTGAAAAGCTCCACGCGAGAGCCCGATTTGTTAGGATGCTCCTACGAGCGCAATACATGATAGTGATGAGAGGACTAGATTTCAGCGTACATAATACTTATTGCAATGCTAATCAAAGTAGTCATAACAGTAGTTCTGAATTGAGAAGACGTATAATGGGGATGATAATAATGGTAGTAAGACTCTACAAACGAATAATATTGGTATTGACAGTGATAATGATGAGAAAGCCACCGTAACAATAATGGTCAACTGGTGATACAAATGATGATAAGAAGAAGAACAACAATAAGGACGATTGCGATAGACGGCAGAATGTTAAGAGTAATTAAAACTACATTAGTGTTTGTTATACTAGTTGCTGGGATTGATTGTGTAGATATTTCACAGCTATCACTGATCACCAGTATTGTTCGGAGTCTTATATTATTTGGAATACAATTATTCTTCTGATCATTTCTATGAGTATGATCATTGATCATACATATGAGATCACCCGCTTCTGAGTAATTATGATTTTTCCTATGACAGTTTTTCTATTCGTACCGTCATCACAGAAGTACGTAGACTAAACGCAATGGTACTGTGAGAAACCATAACAGTAATATTCTATCAAAATAATAACAAGGCTAGCAGTAGCGGTTGGAACGACATGGAGTAATAGCAAGAATGGAAGCTTCGGTCGTAACCAAGGAAACAATAAGGCAACACGTGTGCTCCAAACCTGGCCCGCCCTCCACCCTTACGGCAGCGGCAAGCGCGCACTCTTTTTCAAGTTGGTGCAAGAAGCTTCACTCCTCCTGGTCCTTCTTTCCCAGGTCGAAGACTTCTGAGACGCCACCTGTCTTCAGGCGCCTCACTTCCACCTCATTGACTACGTCGCGCTTTTCTTTATTCATGATGCACTTTCTGCACTTCTTCTTCGACAAGTCGACCTTGTAGCAAAAGGCTGCCTCCGCTCTGTTCGAAGCAAAGGGCCACCCGCAGGCTGTTTTCCACGAGCTCATCGGGATCTCCCAGCCGGCTACTGTCACCAAGTGTAGTGTGGGGCCCGACCTGTTGTCTCTGATCGAGTAAACCCATAACTCTTTGGGATTGCCCACTTCGAAGCTCGAAACTCCAAGCTCGCCATTGTCAATCTTGTGCTCCGTCTTGTAGCTGTTCATTTTAACAGGCGTCGACTTCCATGTTGTTGGCGGGGTCATAGGCACTGGAGTGTCACATCCCAGCTCGTCTGCCGTGGGCTTCGGGGTTCTCGGCGCCCTCCAGCCTTGAAAGTCTTTGGCATTGTGCGCCATAGTCGGCGGCACGATTCTCTGGTTGGCCGGCACCTCCTCTAGAGCTTCCTCCGCGTACGCCAGCACCACATTTGACTTCCATCTCCCCAGAAAGGCTACCTCCTGCAACGTACATCATGGCTCCCGACCTTCGAGCCGAGTGTCCGGAGACGCCTTGTCCCAGCTTGCCTTTCCAAGCCGCCGTCACATTCCCTGTGGACTTCACCCCTTCATACTTTTCCACGAACACGTGCTCTGACTTCGAGGTCGCCCTTGCCGCGATCTCCGTCCAAACCTTCCAGGCGCAAGTCCAGGAGCATCTCTTAAGCCCACAGCAGCCCAACGTCCTGCTTACTCCCCATCCTGACTGATCCATCTTCGAAATGGGAATCTTGAGCGTAATGTGCTTCTTCCCCTTGTCCACCGACACGTGTGACCACATCACCGCAGCCACCTCTGCACATCGGAGCATGAAGATCACGGCCCAAGCGTACGCCAGCACCGGCTCGCAGACTCCCAAGTGCCAGGAGCATTGCCAAAGCGCTCCCTCCAAGCTCGAGAGCTTCACCTCTAGCGCTCTCTTCGCCGGGCCGAGGTTCCTTGACACCGACTTCTTCGCCAGGACCAAGAGTCTGTTCAAACTGTCTGACACCGAGTGTCCTTGCTCGACATGCCACAGCTTGAGCTCACTGACCAATGCCGACGCGGTCCTCAGTCTCGCAGCTTTGAGCGCCGCAGCTACGCCCAGGACCACCTTCTCGTTCAACGGCGGGGTCCACCATTCACCTCCCACCGCTTGCGCCAGTTCCATCACCAGCCTCCTCTTCCAAAGCTGCGCTTCCCTGCTGGAGTCCGACCAAAAGTCTTTCTTCACCGCCATTCCAACGCCGGTCCACAGACTCGCGTTAAGTGGGCTTTTGAACTCTATCTTCTCCTTGAGCACGACCTCGTCCACTCGTCCATGTAGCAGCTCTCGAAGCTCTTCCTTCCAGGCTTCCACCAGGTCCTTCTCAAGCTCGCACGAGTTGCCGCCATAGGTCTTGGCCGTGTTGAGGACCTCGGGGTTTTCCCTGGCGAACCTTCTCCAGAGCCTTGCGCAATCTCCGCCCACCTCGGCCACTTTGCTGAGGCGTTTGACCGCTTTCCAGGGGTTGCACATGCCGCCCACCGCGAACTCGTTCTCCTCCTTGCGCTGGCCTTTCTTCGAGAGCTTGCTGTCTGGGCCTTTGTGCTCCACAGAGTCTGTCCAGGTAAAGGACCTTTTCACCGAGGCACGTGGTTGCTCCCTCTGCTGCTGCTTCTCCTTCGACTCGTGCCACTTCAGCTGCAGCGCCGACACCTCGGACCTTTTATTGGCAACCTGGTGCCGCCACCATTCAAAGTCCAGTGTCCGCTTCCACACCTTGACCAGGAGCTTGGCATACTCCGTGCAGAGCTCCGCCGGGTACTCGGCCGCCATCTCGGTCCTGGCTTTGCCTACAAGCTGCTGGTGCCTGAAGCCTGCGGGGCAGCAACACTTCCGGCTCAGCGTCTGAAGCCCGTCCAGTCTTCCCACGAACTTGCCCGGCTTGAACCACTTCAGTCGGCACGTGCTCTGAAAGGCGCAGGTGTTGAACACAGCTTCCACCGCGTCCAGGTCCTCCACGAAGGCGACCACCTCAGGAAGCATCCAGACCGGACCATCCGGTCCGCCATCCGTGCCTGGCGGATTTTCTATGGCGCCAGCCTCCGGCACTTTGCGCAGACGCTGAGTTCTGACGACTTCCGCCACCACTTCGCAACTTCTCGTCGCTAGCAAAGTGCCTTCGTCAGCTTGACGTTGAAGACGGCCGTTGTTGGAGGATAACCCGTATATTTCAGTTTTACTTCGGACTGGAGGCGGTCCGGGTCCATCAGCATTCCAGCGGGCTGCTGAAAATGTCCCACATGGAGGACCGGCGTCCTTTGCCTGCTCGAGCAGCGTGAGGTAGGACTCGTCCGCCAGAAGGTTCTCCTGTCTGGGTCCGTTCCAGTCCACTGCCCGGATCTCCGTTTGAAAGCCTGCCTTGGTTGCCTCGCTCTGCACCGCCTTCCCCAAGACGTCGTCCTTCCCCGAGAACAGGTGGAGAAACTTGAAGGCGCGGGCTCTCTTGAACGCGGCAAAGTCCGAGGCTACCTTCAGCAAGTCCCTGACCCGATCCGGGAGCCATGGCGCATCGCTCTCGAGGCAGGGCTGCGCAGGTTCTGTGCTCCCACTGGCGCGCTCAGCCATCTTGACTGAGAAAGTCCGCCAGCAACATGGTGCAACACAACCTTTCAAAGCACAACCCTTGCAAGCAGACTACGACCAAGCTCCCGACTTTTCTCACTTAAGAGGGCACGAATCATTGCGGTGAGAAGGCGAAAGGCAGAACTGGCATTTGTGTACACGCTTCACTTGGCATTTACAGTCGCCCCCTGCCGGTACATCAGCACAAGGTCCGGTTCCCGAAGCCCAGCTGAAACAAAGTTGGAGGCCTGACTGATCCTTAGTCTTGCCCTTTCCGCCGCCCTTCTTCTGCTGGCCTTCCGTGTGCTCAGTCTTCCTGGCGGACTTCAGCTTCTGCAACTCGTCCCGCTGATCTTGCAACCTCTTCTTCTTCGCGGCGCGCTTGTCCCGATTTGCTTGTTTCCTTCGCTCCATGTCGACGGGGTTTGCCGCACCTCCACCGCTGAACTCAGAGCCTGGAAAGTGAGCCCCAGCTATTGCTTCAGCAGCGGCTATGGGAGCTCCACGTCCGCCAGCAGCAAGCCACGAAACGGCCGGGTGTCGAACTTGCTCCGACCAAAAGCTTTCATCTCGGGCCAGCGCCTGCATGCAAGAGGTCCACGGCGCATCGGCGTCCCAGTCCGCTGGCACAGCTTTTCCTTGCGCTGCATCCGCCGTGAAGTTCCGCCTAATCTTCTCCAGCCTTTCTGCCCGAGCTTT